CCAAGTTGATTATGATGGCTATGATGCCCAAGTGTTCAGGCTTCCTGGTCCATCCAGAGCTCAGCGCTGTACCACTTTCAGGTAAGAAGCTCTGTGGGAAAACTGTTTTAAGTTCACCTTCAGCTTTTTGCTGCATTTGCCCATATGTAAAATACTATGGGGAAAGATGGAGAGAGCTGAACCTCAAGTGCTTAGAACTTGTTTGAATGTAGTAGACTAAGCTTTTCACAGGCTACCAGTCAGGTTCCTGCTGGTGGCTCCCTACTATGCTGCTGAGAGTATACGCATGTGGTATGGGAGCTAAGCAAAAGGTGAACTCTTGATTTCCATCCATGTTGGATTTTGCTTTTGTGTTTAACTGATAAAATTATTGCTGCTGCATCATCTTTGCTATGCTTTGGTTAGATTTTGTGAGCTAAGAAAAGCTGTACCACTTCCTTGGTAAGGAAGTGACAATCTCATTTTCATGCCATTGGATGTCTCTTTTTATCCTCCAGCAGGTCTGTAAGGGAGAGAGAGAGTCGCACCAGGAAGAGCTCTAGTTCTTACGATGTCTCATCGAGCCCTTCCCTGCAGAGTCGCACTCTGCCCCCAGAGGAGGTGAGGAGCCAGGCTTCTGATGACAGCTCCCTGGGCAAGATCTCCAACATCCTAATGATCCCACGACTTCATCTGCATCAATATGAAGTCAGCAGCTCCTTGGGCTACACCAGCACCAGAGGTCAGACTGAGGCATGGATGCAAATGGGGTAGTTCCTTAACATGCCTCTTGTTTGTGGGACAAGGGGGAGAGGTTCTGAATTCATATCAGCCACTTCCAAACCAGGGCAGTGGAGGCATTGCTCATATGTGCACCAAAACTCCAGGTGTTAAGAGTGAGTGTTCACTGGCAGTGCACACTGCTGTTGTCTGGGTTTGGTGCTCTCTCTCTGCTATCTTTGTCCCTTTTGCAGTTGTATTGCCTTGCCCTATATAGGCATGTTCTGACACTGATCTACCCATTTCCCCTGTCTATTATCATCTTATAATATCTCACAATTCTCCTGGGTCCCCTCTGCAAATATGGATACGTGCAACTTGTGCTTCGTTTTCAGGTCACTTTTGAATCTGTATAATGGAAATTGGACTCAGCAGTGAACCCTGGGGGACCCCACTTATAACTCTGCTCCATGAGGGTTTGCTGTCATTAGCTATAACTTTCTGGATTCTTCCTCCTGCCTTGCTGAGTTAGCCAACATGCCTGTCCTTTTTTATTAATGTTGTTCACTGTCTGCATGTAGTGCCTTCTGAAGGCCGTAGAGTCATAGAGTTATAAAAAAAAAGTAGGGCTGGAAGGGACCTCCAGAGGTCATCTAGTGAGCTCAACCCCTTACCTGAGGCAGGATTATCCCTAGCCAAACCATACCCTAAACTCTACATAAGACTACCTTTAACCCTGATACAACCTAGGCCTAACACCTTAACTTGCCACAGATAAAGCAGGGAAACCACAGCAGCCAATGTTCAACTTCTATAAAATGTTGTTAATATATGCTTGAGAGGTCCCGGGTCCCTTTCTGAGATGAGTGATTGTTGTCAACCTTCAGCTGCCTTTAGAAGCTCTGATATTGTTTTAAAAACAAAACAATCAATCATATCGGTTTAACTTGGGCTGCTCTTCCTGTAGTTTGTCTCGCTGACTCCGTTCTAACTCCAGCATTTTTTCTGGTATGGGAGTAATTGCCAGCTATACTATTCACAACTTGGAACCACATTTGCCTCTTTAGTTCTCCAGTACTCTCCCTGTATATTGATCGTTTTATAAATAAAGATGGCACGCTGGTTATTCCTTTACTTTAATGAAGGCAGCAAGGTCCAATGAACTGAGCACTGGTTGGGGGTTCAGGAGACTTGGGGTCTATTCCTTGTTCAGAAATTGGCCAACTGCATGAACTTGAGTCCCTTCACTCTGTGTTCATTTCCTTACCTCTTAACGGGGGAGTGATATGTTTGTAAAGCACTTACAGTAAAATTTATCAGCTGTAGATGTCAGCATATGGGCTGACAGGGGATTATTTTTTTCATAGTTCTGGAACAGAGCCCATCCGGTCCTATTGACAGAAGCCAGTGTGCGCTTTGATCTGAAAAATAGCCTTTGTGCCTCACAAAACCTAGTTGGGGTGATGGGGTGTTAGGAGTTTCCTCACCGTTGCCTTTCTCTGACATTAAAAACATCCATAAAGTACTCCCTTAAGCCTTCTACTTGTTCTGATATACGTGTTTCATCCTGAATCCATTAGACTCTGTATACTTAGAAGAGGTCCTCATTCCATTATTGTAATTTTTTTTTCAGTGCAGTATTGTTTTTGGACTTGGCTGAATTTAGCCCATTGTGGTTTTTCCTTGGCTATTTGATTCTTTTGTGGGATTTTGTAATGACAATAACAGTACAAAGTCTTTATCTGTAGTTAGCAATTTATATTTGCAGGGGAAACCAGTTTTCCTAAAATCCGACTTGAAAATGTCAGGTTGACATATAATTGGAGTAATACAGTAACTTCATTCTACTTGCTTTCTAGAAGATACTTTTTTCTTATCTCAGTTTTCTACTTGTCTAGCTTGTCAGGAATATCTAGAGCTCTGGGCAAGAATCTGATATTACTATTTAAAAATCTAAAGATGGAAGCAATTCTTTGTAGCTTGTTGGGAAAAAAAAAAGTGTCCTCTCTGGCTTTCTTACCTTAGGTGTTAAAAATCTGCCTGGACACCTGAAACACAGAAAATCCATATTCTTTGTCGTCTGGTTTCCTGTTTGTGATGTAATCTTTATACTGCCTCTAGCTTCTCCCCCCTGCGTGGCCTTATTTCATGAAGTAGAACATCCTCTTTCACTTCACCTGTATTTAATCTCATGTTAATTTAGAGCTTTGTGTTGCAGATGTTCTTGAGAATATGCTGGAGTCACAGCAGCGAGACTCCAGCGCGCCAGGGAGGTTCCATGTAGGCAGCGCGGAATCCATGCTGCACATTCGGCCTGGTGGATATACACCACAGCGTGCGTTAATAAACCCCTTTGCGCCCTCTCGCATGCCCATGAAGCTTACATCCAACAGGAGGCGCTGGATGCACACATTTCCTGTGGGTAGGTCTTTATTACTTAGTTTTTTTCAAACCATCCCTACCCTGCCCTGTCAAGCATTTGTGGCTTCAATATGCATGGACAGATCCCACTGTCAATAAGCTCCCACCACAAAATGATATGTCTTTGTTGAAATTGACTTGCATCAGGGGTGAGTTGAGAACTGATTCATTTTACTGAAGCAAAGGGTCTCTTGACTCGTGCAGGTGTTCTGAACGTGGAAACACTGTGGAGTGAGTTTATACTTTTCTTACTCTCCAGGGAGTAAACTCGCAATCAGTGGTGTGCGTAGAAACCATAAGAAGAAAATGTCTGGCTTTTATTAGACAGAAGATTCTGAGGGGGCTGTGACTGCATTTAGTAAGATTTTTAGGGACATTCATACACGTTTGTATTGTGTATATAGGATTCAAACACTGAACTGTGCCAGTCTTTCCTTAGTCTTTGTCTACATTATCAACTTCTCTTGGCTGGGGTGGGGGTCTGAAAAGATGGTGCCCTTTAACTGTTATACCCTGAAAGGGGGCACACCTCTGCTGGCAAAAGGTAGCTAGCTGCCAGGGAACTGGTATATGTTCCAGCGAAAAACTGTGTCTTGTTGGCAGTGCTGTTACTATGCCAAGTGTCTTAGTGCTGCTGTTAAGTTACAGCAGAAGCAACCCTTGGAGTATGGACATAGCTTTAGTGTCTTATAAATACACCTTCCAAAAATGTCTCTGTTAAGAAGAATATAATCTTCAGGGTTTCATTTGGCTTCTGGTGTAGAGCAAGGGGATTGTCTTGCACAATTCCATAGAGCAAGTGTGGGCTGGGGGGCTGTTCAGTGAGCTTTGGTGAGCTGTTGAGGGCCACAAGGGTAGCCACACCCCTTGACAGGTGCCCCGCCCTGATCACCATCTTGGGACTGGAAGTCCCACCCGCTAACTCCTGACTTGGTCCCAGAAGTACCCCTTTCTGGAGGGAAGGGTTGCCATCTTGGAATCAAAAAAACCCAAATCACATACTAAATGTCAGACACTACTATTACAGGAGTAGGCAATGTTTTTTGGCCGGAGTGCTGAAAAAAACACATTGTCTACCTTGGAAGGTGCCAGAGTGCCGACATGCTGGAGCCTGGAGCAGCTGCTTGCAGCTTCCCGGCTGCAGCCGGCCCATGGAAGCAGGGCTTGCAGCTTCCCAGCTGCCTGCTGAGAGCAGCCTGGGCTCCGTGGCTGGCAGCAGCTACTTAGAGCCTGGGCTGGCGGTGGTGTGCCGAGCAAAATGGCCTTGCATGCCATGCTTGGCATGTGTTGTGGGGGTTGCTGACCCCTGTACTATAACATATTTACATTTTATTACAAAAAATATTTTCATGATTTGTTTGCATAGTGTATGTAGTGAAGATTGCATAATAACTCAAAAATAAAGTCTTAATGTTGTATATTGTGTGTGGGCTGGGGAAGGCAGGGGGCTGTAGATGGGGGGGCGAGGGTCACCAGGAGAGCTGAGGGCTGTGGCTTGGGAATGAGAGGCCTAGATCTGCATCTTGGTGAGTGGGGGGTAGGGGGAGCTCTGATTTTCCATGATAAAAAACCCAAAATCAAATACCAAAATTTCTAGGTATACAGAATTTATTTTATTATGGTGACTGAGGCATTGGTAGGCTTCCAAACTGCTTTAA